GAGAATAGGAGATGTTTGGATTTTTCAAAACTCCATGGACATGCAGGAGAGAAATGCTATCCCCACTCGGACCAAGACAGAACTTTTACTTGTTCAAATAACAATTAAGGCCCAAATTTGTCTATGAAGAGCGGATCTAATTGTATTAGTATCTATAATTGAGTTACTTTTTTTATGAAAGATGTACCCGTTAATTTTTGATGGGTACTCCCGGATTTCAGATTATACAAGGAAGATCAACATAAAAAAATCCATCGAAATCAACAATAACTTAAACAATCAATCAAAATGGTGGAATTTTACTAAAAACATATTAGACAACTTTGTGGGGTTTTGATTCATCTTAAAGACGCACCCGCTCAGCAAAACTATCAGATTCACCATTATGTTGTAAAAATCAAATGGTCAGAGGTCATCGGAAAATAATAGTTAGAAAAAACATCTTCAATTTTAAGATTTAAGCAAGTTAAGATTTATTTGGATCGTTATTCATATTATGGGTAACTTAAAGAGGGACTCACTTGGGAAAATACGAATGATTCAAGTCATATGAATGATAAGTCTGTTTAATTCAGAGACTTTGTTTATAATTTATATAAAGTTTAAAATAAAAAATAATTTTTTAATAAATATTTAAATACATCTTTCAAAATAGAACATAAGTATTAATTATTGTCCAATTTAATATCAGTAATAATAACGATAATTAAATAGCATTCCATAATCATCAGAATATATACAATTTCATTATCTGGTACGTTATTTTTTATAATGTCTAGAACTTCTTAGGGTCATGACGATCCGTTAAACCCGATCTGTTTGACACGTTAAAAACGAATTAAACAACTATTTTTAAAAAAAATAGTGAACCAGACTAGACAGTTAAGATTAAAAAACGGACGTATACGATGCACATAATTTAGGACAGGCTCAACTTGGCCCTCTACATTTTTTTCGTAATAATATAATTAATTGTGTTTTATAATTAATTTTTTTAATAAAAAGCTTAGTAGTTTTTTTTAAAAGCGCAAGAAACTTAATTAACAGGTTGTTTACCTATGATTTATTGTGTAAGAGGTATGACAATAACCAAGGTTCTTACCCGGTAAATGATGAAGAAAACTCTTACGTTGTTAATGTTTATCGGGTGAAAGACACTTACAAATAATTCATTTTGGTGACCAAAAATGTTATACATCAAGATAAATGAGGGTGATTGGTAAATGGTTACTCGGTAAACATTTGATAAACGACCCCTAGGTTTATATACTCAATATTTTGGTTAAACTCACTACTTATTTGTTAGAGTTAAACCAATTACTTGATTTATTCTAGAATTTGTGGCAAGAAATGTAAAGTAGATAGAAATTGTATAGGTTTATGAATTAATAAAAAAATAATATATTTACTTTTATAATTATCTATAAATTATTTTTATGAATTATTTATAAAAAATAAAATTCAATTACATT